GCAGATTCTGAAAGGTGGTATAAATGTCATCTTTGGGTATGATCCGACTTTCTGTTTCCTACTGCACTCCAGGCTGCTAGAGGCTTTTCACTCATCCCCATTGATCCCCGCCTCCCCAGCAAACACCCAGTCGTGATACCAACCCAGACTCTGTTTTTAAAGACAGACTATGGGGAGCAATTAGAACTTAATGTCGAGAAATGATTTGGAGAGAGCTGTTTGCAAATCCCTTATCATTTCTTTCAGATTGATTTCAGAAATGAGAGGTTTCCTTTCCTCTTATGGACACCAACAATGCAAAGCAAATTCAGAACCCCTGGATGCCTAGGTAGCTCTATAATTAGATTAAAAAACTACAATTGGTTGCTACAATGTTTATGTGTGCAGATGATAGCTGAAGAGCTGCTGCAGAGATTCTTAGAGGAATTTTATAGGCAGCGCCAGCGCCTCACATCTTATAATTAATACTCTTCCCATCGATTTTTGAAACGCCCTTGGTTTTCTGGATTTCACTGTGAATAGAGGAGAACTAATGTTTCTTTGAGTCCGTCTTACGTGCTAAGCATACTGCTTTATTACTTTAACCTCAGAGCCTCCTTAAAAAGTGGGCTTAACAATTCTGGTTTTGCAGACTAAAAATATGATACTCAGAAGAGTTAGTTACCTTGCCCAAGGCTGTGCCACTGGTTAGGTTTTGGAGCTATGGGTTCAGACACCCAGGGTTTTGTTCGCTCTTGCCACTCACTAACCCACATGCCCACCTTTTACCTCCTGTCTTAGCTCCTTTAGGAGCTGTCACAAAATACTATGGACTGCGGGCTTATAAACAGCTCACACAGTTCTCACAGTTCTGGAGGCCGGAAGTCCAAGATCAAGACACTGGCACATTCAGGGTCTGGTGAGGGCCCTCTCTGCCTAGTTTGTAGATGTGTCCTCACGTGGAGGACGGGGCCAAGGAGCTCTCGGGGGGCCTCTTTTATGAGGGCACTGGCCCCATTCATGAGGGTTCCACCCTCATGACCTCATCACTTCCAATGCCCCACCTCCAAATACCAGCACATCAGGGCTTACGATTCAATATCCAAATTTGGTAAAACACAAGCCCTCAGTCCACAGCGCCTCCCTTTCCTTTGTTTCAGTAAACCCAGAAGGAAGTGCTGATCACTTAAAATGATGTTGGGGCAGAGGTGGGTTCTGTGTGCCAATCCCACACACAGCCCTCCAGCATACCAAAACACCCCACCAAAAGTCGACCCAGAAGCACAATAGCTAAATGGGCAACAAAGCGTCAGTTTTGTAAATTGCCAAGCAAATGCTTGTTTTGCCTGTGCAAAACTTACGGTAAAGGCTGGGATACAGAATGTGGTTGAAGTCAAGAGACCACATGGTGTCCATTCTGAATCTCCTGGCTCTCTACTTATGTCCCCTACTCCACCTTCCCATGCCAGTGTGGGATCTCACTGCTGTGACGTCGAAGAAGACCAGTGTGAGGCACACCCTCCCCGCGCCAAAGGAACAAAGAAGATCTGGGCAGTTGCCTGTTGGTACTTCCTGGGGACACCTGAGCTTTGTTGCTCAGGAGGAGATGGCCAGTCTTCTTCTTACAGAGAAGGTCCTGGTTCTGGCTTCCCAACCATCTTAGTGGATCTACAAGGAGGGGAGGGCCAGCAGCAGAACTTCACATAAACCTTGAACTTTAACACTGGCCCTACCTTCCGGGAAGAACCAGGTCCCCTGAACATCCCGGATAGGCTCTGATCAGGCCAATGGCAGACTCCTCCCAGAGGTATGGGGGCAGGTAGAGGGGCCGGAGGGTGGCTGGTGAGGGGAGGAACAGCATCTTCTTTCCCCACAAAAAGTATAAGTCAGTGAGTGTTTATTGAGTGTTGTCTGTGTGCTCAGCTCTATAGCAGGTGCCATGGAAGAATCCAGAGAAAAACTGAGCTTTGAAGGATAAACGAGACATTCCCCGGGAGCGAGCACAGAAGGAGAAGAAGCAGTCCTTAGGTCACATGCCTGAGTGTTGCCCATGGAGGGCGGAGAGGCTAGAGGGGGAGCCCAGAGCAGCCCCCACGGCCCTGCACATCGCCGTGGAGGTCCGCAGACTATCCAAATGGCAGCAGGGGCCGCAGAAGAGTCTGAGGCTCCTGGTGAGCGACTCTCAACGTCCTCTTTGCCGGCTTTGCTTCGGCCTCACACTTTGAAACAAGGCATTCTTATTCTTGGTGGCTGCCTCGTGGTATTGAGACGCATCAGCCTCGAAATTGGCCCCTTTTGTCTGGGGAACTGTCTGACAAAAGCGATCCTCCTCCATTTGCCTCCCCTGGGTGCCCCAGAATAATGGTGTGCTGTTTAGGAGTGTGTTTCCAGCCTGTCTGGGGGGAAGTTTCCCATCTGCCCAGAGCCCTCTGGGAACCCACTGCTACACAGACCTTCTGTTCTTATCTAAAACTCCTGCAGAGACTTCCTGTCAAGGTGATCTATAAAACCAAAACTGTGCAATTATTTTTTTTAAAAAAAGGAAAATATAAAACCTTCAACAATAAAAGCTGGGGCTGTGGGGAGAGTGACTTGTCAGCCTTTGTGATGCTTGAGCATGCAGAGGGATTTGCCAGTCTTGGTTACCCACCCACCCCCTTGCAAATGTCTTCCTCCTGGCTGTCCTGATGCCATGCACTCTTTCTCTCCTGCTCATTTGACTACATTTCCTAAATTCTTTTTGCTGCCTTCTCTCCTTCCAGCCCATCAACTTCTTCTGTAGCTTTATCTGTAGTGCCCTTACCTCTTACCCTCCTTGGGCAAACTCCTCCCTTCTCAGATCTTCAACTGCCACCTGTTCACTCCAGACCCAGAGTTCCACAACTGTCCCTCCAACTGCCTAGCTGTCTGCATGTCTCTAGCTGGATGACCCACAAGCATCAGAAATTCAACTGGCCCCAAATCAAATTCATCATCCTCATCCTCTATGGATCAGCTTCTCTTCCTGAATTTACCAGTTTAGATGGTAAAAGCATGAGTGTCATCCTTAATGACGCCACTCTGCCACACACCTCTGCACACATGCAAAAAACACTTACTAGGATTATTGACATGTCTTTCCCCGAACCTCCCAGTTATCCGTGCTGCTACCTTATGTCCCTCCCTTGGTAACTCAGGCCCCAACTATCTAAACCCTTCTAAACCCTTTCTCTTCTCTTCACTTCATCCTTCATCCTCCACCACGGTTGCCCTTCAGATACACAGGTCCGACCCTGTCCTTCCTGATTAAACATCTGGAGTATCTGTGCATCGCCTCCATGCAGAACTTTCTACACAGCATGTATGAGACCCTCTCACTCTCCAGCCTCACAACCCTACCACCTGGATTAGTGGAACTTCTAAACGTATACTGGTCACTCTTACTCTCCTGCTCCTTACTTTTTCCTCCCTAAAACCCTCTCTTCAACTTCCAAGGTCTGACCCAAATGTCACTTCTTTTGTGAAGACTCCCTTGGTTCCTTTTCCTGTTTTCTAAATGATGGTTGCTCAAACCCCTTTATAGATCATAGCATATTATCCAATAGTTCATCGTGTATATGTCCATGTTCTCCTCTAGATTATGATCTCCTAAAGGATGGGGAAGATTTGTCCTAGTGTCTACCACTGTATCTGGGAAGAAGATTGTTGAATGAATAAGTAAATGACACCACAGAATCCAAAAAAAAGATGACAGCACACGTGGGAGGTCTGTCACTCACCAAAATGATTAGAATGGCACAGTGGACTTTAAATCTTAGCTCTAACACTAACCAACTCATCGACCTCTGGGAAATTGCTTTTCTCTGAGCCTTAAATCTTCACCTGAAAAAAGAGAGATCAAGAGACTTCATAAGTCTGTACCAGGGAATGGAAATCAGCTATTATATAAAGTGCTTAGCATTTTGTCTAGCACATAGTCAGAGCTCCATGCGTTACTGACACTAGTGTTATTAATAATAAGTATATGAAAATCCAAGCAGAATGATAGTAAGGCATTGTTAGAAAGTGGGTCCAACTTCATTCACTAAATGCATGTTGACTGAGCACCAACCAGTGGAAGATGCTAAAGCCAAATGGATGGACTTCACTGTAGAGAGGGAAGGGCCCCTTCCATGAAGGTACCCTTCAATGTGAACAGTTGGTTGGTTAAAAGAGAAGTAGAGAAATGAGACATGAATGGCTGGACAGAGAATAGAGAACGAGGGGTGAATTCCCAAGGAGAAGGAATATGCCTGCTGAGAGTTTGGTTGGTAAGGAGAGGAAGCTGTCAAAAATGCCTCCAGAGATGGGAGTTTGAGATCACCAAGTTGCTGGAAACAGCCTGACACCCAGCAGAGGTGTCCAACAGACAGGGCTACCATTGGACAGAGCTTTGGTGAGACCTTGAAGCTCAAGATGTATACTTGGGAGTGATGTTGAAGCCTTGGGCAAGGATGAGTTCTCCTACCTACAACTCAAATTGTTCCCTTAACCATGTCTCAAGTGGCACATAGTATATTCCCTGCAAACCTTGATAATCACTAACCAAACTGAGCAACTTGGAACAGGTGCCAAGTTCAGTTCTTGGCATCAGAGTAGACCAAGAGGGAAAGTGTTTCATAAAACACACCTCAAAGGGGAAAGGGCATGTGGGTCCCTCCCACAGTCTGAGTATTGAGATAAAATTCCAGTGGTGTGTTGCTTTGGCAGCAGTTGCCTAGTGAGGAAGATGATGATAGAAGAAGCAAAAAAAAAAATGGGCAGGAACAATAAATCATGCCAAATATTTCATGGTCGTTTCAGGGTTTCTCGATAGAATATTCTAGGGATGGATGTAATAAAAACGTCTCCTAACGATTTTTCTTGAACAAACAGAACTTTAGAGAATTATTGGGTGCCAGTGGTGGGGAAGGGTAGTTATGAATGTGATTACCAGTGTTGCCCAGTGAGTGGAGATCAGACAATTGATGCTGTGTGACCCAACGTTCTGGGTTTCCCTGCAGGGTGATGCCAATGGCCATCCAGTTTTCCATCCTGATTATGCTGCACTCGGCTCTGGTCCTCATCACCACAGCAGAGGATTATAAGTGTTTGCCCCTCGTCCTCCGGAAAACTTGCTGTTGGATTAACGAGACCTATTTGGCCCGGAACGTCATCATCTTTGCATCCATCTTGATTAACTTCCTGGGCGCCATCTTGAATATCGTAAGCATTCCAAACCCACCAACCCTCTGGCTTCTCGCGTGCCGGCAGGAATGAAGGGTTTATGGAGCCTGCAGCTTCTTTTGTTGCTTCCTTGGTACCACTTACCTTTAAGTGCCTGGTGCAGCCCCAAGCTTAGGGATAGAGAACAGAGATGCGGCTTCTGTCAGAGCTGTGCATCTTACTGGTGGCAAATTGTCTTTTTCCCAGTGGGGGTGGTTATCTGCTCCAAAGGAGCGTAAATGCCCTAAAGTTTCTATATTGTCAGTGGCCAACCAATTATAATCGTCAGAGTTTCCTTTAATTAAGTACCTACCTGCTATGTGCCATGCACTGAAGGAGGAGCTGTATGTGTTTTTCTTAATAAATCCTCACATAAACCCCGTGAGGTAAGTCTCCTTATCCCCACTTTATGGCTAAGGAAACTGAGGCTCAGAGACATGAAATAACTTGCTAATAAGGTCTGTCTGACTCCACGACTCATGCTCATTCTCAAATAATAAATTGTATCTCTGGGAGTGGGGGTGGGGTGGGGAGTGGAAATAAAAGAGCTGTCATTTCTTGAGCACCTACTATGTGCTACAGGTAGGTATTAACGTTCCCATGCAATGGGTAAGGAAACTGCACTTCAGGAAGCTTGAGATCTTGCCTATGACTTTCTAAGGGTTCATATTGGATGTGACACGTTGAACTTGGATGACTCTCTAGCTGCCATATTTATCACTGTTTTTAATTTGGTAATACATGTTTTAATGATTTCATTTTCTCTCTAGAATGGTAACATGATAGCAACAGCATTTTTGTGTATATACAAACAGTCTGTGTTGTCCAAGGCTTAGTTACTCTAGATTTTAGGAGTGATCTGTCTGATTCCAGGTTTTGAACTTGGCACATTGAGAGAAGCTAGTGGAGGCATCCATCTTGTGGCTGAGCCCATCATTGTGCCCTTTGGGCCTGAGGGAGGGTCTCCACGTGTTCAGGGACCCAAACTGAGGACTCCCACAGTTGTCAGCCTTGGGCAAGGCTGTGAGCCTGTGAGTTGTCAGCCTGTGAGTCAGAGGCTTATACTGTCTGAAATTCATTGTCCAGAATGGCCCAGTAATTACTTACAGTCTATGTTGCCCAAGCTCTGTGGTTGGCCTTGTAGGAAAGGATTCTATGGGGTAAAGAAAAAGGAAAATCCTAATCTAATTAAAGTCATCATCTAATGAATATTTTATAGATTATTGCAATTGAAAATGGAAGTGCTTAGGAACATTGATCATGGTCTGCGGAGGCGTAGCCAGGATCTCAAGGCTTGAGGAATCAGGTATTTCTGGGGTGCAGGATCTGGAAATAAATTCAGTGATTCAGGTCAGTGTTACCTCTGGGCCACCCATGCCAGAGTGGTGCAGCAGGAAGTTCAGAGGCTTTGGAGTCAGATAGACCTGCCATCAAATCTCAGCTCTACTGCTTACCAGCTCGGTGATCCCAGACAAGTTACTTTACTTCTCAGAGTTTCATATTTTTCTATTGTAAAATGGGGATAAAAAACAGTAGCTACATCACAAGGTGGTTGTGAGGCTTTTTTGTCCAAAGTGTCTGGCACAGAGGAGGCATTCAGCCAATGGCAGCTACTCCTTCCCGAGCACCACAAAATCTGCCGCAGTTTCTGGCCTAGGGAATGCCCACCATGCCCCCCCGCCCCCACCAGCCTTGCCTCATGCTAAGAGTCTTTCTGGAAAACGTGCCCCCCTCAGATCCCTAGAATCCTCCCAGCTGTTGAGGAGGAAGCAGGCTGCGAGCATCCCCCAGACCTTTTCTCCTGCCATCTGGCTCTCTTCAGAGCCCCACAGACACTCTCCACTGACCCTACGTGACGGGGCCAGCAGAGCTGTCTTAACCTGGCTTTGGGGCTGGCTTGCAAATGCTTTTTCTGAGCCAGTACCTTCTTTAAAATGAAAGAGGAGATCCCAGCTGGCACCTCCATTCTGGAATGAAGCCCCCTGTAGGGCCTGGTCTGCCCAGGCTCCTGCTGAAGCTTGGCACACTGCTTTGTTCCCAGCACTCACACTGACTTTGTTGTTCCTGTGTTGTTTTGTTTTGTTTTGTTTTGTTGTTGTTCTTTTTTTTTTAATCCGCAGCTGTGGTGTGATTTTGACAAGTCGATACCCTTGAAGAACCTGACTTTCAATTCCTCAGCTGTGTTTACAGATATCTGCTCCTACCCAGAGGTATTTATTCTCGAGCTCCCCTTGGCAAGACTTGGGCCTAGGTACCTCCACCAGCTCCACACAAGCACAACTGGCTGAAGGGTCTCAGAAAACGTTCAAGAGGCCTGCTTCCTTCTTCTGCCGCCTGCTCCTCCTGCTCTCCTCTTCCTCCTTCCCCTTCTCTGCCTTTCCCTCCCTCCCCTGCCTCTTTCCCACCCCACTTCCAGCCTTTCCTGATTCTCCCTTCTTCTTCCTCCTCCTTTCTTCCTTCTTCACCTGTACCGCTATCCATTTTCCTCTTCCCCTCCCCTGCTCCCCTACTCATTTCCCCTTCTCATCTCAGAATCCTAGAGCAAAATGTGCTGTTGTTCCCAACGTAAGGCAGAGTTAGGGCTCAAATGGTATTTGCTGCCTTCAATAAGGAGGGAAGGAAGGAAGAGAGGTGGGGAAGGGAGGAAGGGAGGGAGGAAGGAAGGAAGGAAGGGAGGGAGGAAGGAAAGAAAGGGAGGAGAGAAAGAAAGAAGAAGGGAAGGGAGGGAGGAAGGAAGGAACGGAGGGAGGGAGGGAGGAGAGAAAGAAGGAAAGAGGGAAGAAGGGAAGGAAGAGAAGGGAGGGAGGAAGGAAGGAAGGAGG